ACTGGTTTATGAGCGGAGGCGTGGTGTGACGGACTGGTTTATGAGTGGAGGCGTGGTGTGACGACTGGTTTATGAGGGAGGCGTGGTGTGACGACTGGTTTATGAGGGAGGCGTGGTGTGACGGACTGGTTTATGAGCGGAGGCGTGGTGTGACGACTGGTTTATGAGCGGAGGCGTGGTGTGACGACTGGTTTATGAGCGGAGGCGTGGTGTGAGGACTGGTTTATGAGCGGAGGCGTGGTGTGAGGACTGGTTTATGAGCGGAGGCGTGGTGTGAGGACTGGTTTATGAGCGGAGGTGCGTGGTGCATGTGAGACTGGTTTATGAGCGGAGGCGTGGTGTGAGGACTGGTTTATGAGCGGAGGCGTGGTGTGACGACTGGTTTATGAGCGGAGGCGTGGTGTGACGACTGGTTTATGAGCGGAGGCGTGGTGTGACGACTGGTTTATGAGCGGAGGCGTGTGTGACGACTGGTTTATGAGCGGAGCGGTGGTGTGACGACTGGTTTATGAGCGGAGGCGGTGGTGGACGACTGTTTATGAGCGGAGGCGTGGTGGACGACTGTTTATGAGCGGAGGCGTGGTGCGACGACTGGTTTATGAGCGGAGGCGTGGTGTGACGACTGGTTTATGAGCGGAGGCGTGGTGGACGACTGGTTTATGACGGAGCGTGGTGCGACGACTGGTTATGAGCGGAGGCGTGGTGGACGACTGGTTTATGAGCGGAGGCGTGGTGTGACGACTGGTTTATGAGCGGAGGCGTGGTGCGACGACTGGTTTATGAGCGGAGGCGTGGTGCGACGACTGGTTTATGAGCGGAGGCGTGGTGCGACGACTGGTTTATGAGCGGAGGCGTGGTGCGACGACTGGTTTATGAGCGGAGGCGTGGTGCGACGACTGGTTTATGAGCGGAGGCGTGGTGCGACGACTGGTTTATGAGCGGAGGCGTGGTGCGACGACTGGTTTATGAGCGGAGGCGTGGTGCGACGACTGGTTTATGAGCGGAGGCGTGGTGCGACGACTGGTTTATGAGCGGAGGCGTGGTGCGACGACTGGTTTATGAGCGGAGGCGTGGTGGACGATGTTTGACGGAGGGTGGGACGACTGGTTTATGAGCGGAGGCGTGGTGCGACGACTGGTTTATGAGCGGAGGCGTGGTGCGACGACTGGTTTATGAGCGGAGGCGTGGTGCGACGACTGGTTTATGAGCGGAGGCGTGGTGCGACGACTGGTTTATGAGCGGAGGCGTGGTGCGACGACTGGTTTATGAGCGGAGGCGTGGTGCGACGACTGGTTTATGAGCGGAGGCGTGGTGCGACGACTGGTTTATGAGCGGAGGCGTGGTGCGACGACTGGTTTATGAGCGGAGGCGTGGTGCGACGACTGGTTTATGAGCGGAGGCGTGGTGCGACGACTGGTTTATGAGCGGAAGGCGTGGTGCGACGACTGGTTTATGACGGAGGCGTGGTGCGACGACTGGTTTATGAGCGGAGGCGTGGTGCGACGACTGGTTTATGAGGGAGGCGTGGTGCGACGACTGGTTTATGAGTCGGAGGCGTGGTGCGACGACTGGTTTATGAGCGGAGGCGTGGTGCGACGACTGGTTTATGAGGGAGGCGTGTGGTTAGTGCGACGACTGGTATTTTGAGGGAGGCGTGGTGCGACGACTGGTTTATGAGTGGAGGCGTGGTGCGACGACTGGTTTATGAGTGGAGGCGTGGTGCGACGACTGGTTTATGAGTGGAGGCGTGGTGCGACGACTGGTTTATGAGTGGAGGCGTGGTGCGACGACTGGTTTATGAGTGGAGGTACGTTGGTGCTGACAGACTGGTTTATGAGTGGAGGCGTGGTGCGACGGAATGGGGTTTGATGTATAGGAGGCGTGGTGCGACGACTGGTTTGAGTGGAGGCGTGGTGCGACGACTGGTTTATGAGTGGAGGCGTGGTGCGACGACTGGTTTATGAGTGGAGGCGTGGTGCGAGACTGGTTTATGAGTGGAGGCGTGGTGCGAGACTGGTTTATGAGTGGAGGCGTGGTGCGAGACTGGTTTATGAGTGGAGGCGTGGTGCGACGACTGGTTTATGAGTGGAGGCGTGGTGGCAGGACTGGTTTTGAGTGGAGGCGTGGTGCGACGACTGGTTTTGAGTGGAGGCGTGGTGCGACGACTGGTTTATGAGTGGAGGCGTGGTGCGACGACTGGTTTATGAGTGGAGGCGTGGTGCGACGACTGGTTTATGAGTGGAGGCGTGGTGCGACGACTGGTTTATGAGTGGAGGCGTGGTGCGACGACTGGTTTATGAGTGGAGGCGTGGTGCGAGGACTGGTTTATGAGTGGAGGCGTGGTGCGACGACTGGTTTATGAGTGGAGGCGTGGTGCGACGACTGGTTTATGAGTGGAGGCGTGGTGCGAGGACTGGTTTATGAGTGGAGGCGTGGTGCGAGACTGGTTTATGAGTGGAGGCGTGGTGCGACGGACTGGTTTATGAGTGGAGGCGTGGTGCGACGACTGGTTTATGAGTGGAGGCGTGGTGCGACGACTGGTTTATGAGTGGAGGCGTGGTGCGACGACTGGTTTATGAGTGGAGGCGTGGTGCGACGACTGGTTTATGAGTGGAGGCGTGGTGCGACGACTGGTTTATGAGTGGAGGCGTGGTGCGACGACTGGTTTATGAGTGGAGGCGTGGTGCGAGGACTGGTTTATGAGTGGAGGCGTGGTGCGAGGACTGGTTTATGAGTGGAGGCGTGGTGCGAGGACTGGTTTATGAGTGGAGGCGTGGTGCGAGGACTGGTTTATGAGTGGAGGCGTGGTGCGAGGACTGGTTATGAGTGGAGGCGTGGTGCGAGGACTGGTTTATGAGTGGAGGCGTGGTGCGAGACTGGTTTATGAGTGGAGGCGTGGTGCGAGGACTGGTTTATGAGTGGAGGCGTGGTGCGAGGACTGGTTTATGAGTGGAGGCGTGGTGCGAGGACTGGTTTATGAGTGGAGGCGTGGTGCGAGGACTGGTTTATGAGTGGAGGCGTGGTGCGAGGACTGGTTTATGAGTGGAGGCGTGGTGCGAGGACTGGTTTATGAGTGGAGGCGTGGTGCGAGGACTGGTTTATGAGTGGAGGCGTGGTGCGAGGACTGGTTTATGAGTGGAGGCGTGGTGCGAGGACTGGTTTATGAATGGAGGCGTGGTGCGAGAGGACTGGTTTATGAGTGGAGGCGTGGTGCGAGAGGACTGGTTTATGAGTGGAGGCGTGGTGTGAGGACTGGTTTATGAGTGGAGGCGTGGTGTGAGGACTGGTTTATGAGTGGAGGCGTGGTGTGAGGACTGGTTTATGAGTGGAGGCGTGGTGTGAGGACTGGTTTATGAGTGGAGGCGTGGTGTGAGGACTGGTTTATGAGTGGAGGCGTGGTGTGACGACTGGTTTATGAGTGGAGGCGTGGTGTGAGTACTGGTTTATGAGTGGAGGCGTGGTGTATGTAAGTTACATTGATGAGAACAAAGAAATGACGTGAAATACAATAGTGTCGATTGATGACAAAAGTAATAGAATTCGGCTGAAATTTTCATAAATTAGACCAGACTTTGAATTAAATACCTTAAGTTACTGCGTAATGGTAACATTGAGGGAATAAAAGGTAAGAAACACATTAAAACCAGTGAAGAGAGTGGAAACTTAAGGGGTGCGTCAGTTCCCTTGTTTTTCTAATTATTTTATTTTTCCCCTATAATCTACCTTGTCCATAATTACTCTCATATTTGCTATGATGAATTAACCCCTCAAGGGAGGTTCCTTGATGCTGGTGAGGAGCTCTTGATCTAGGGACTTGGATCTGTGTTCCGGTTACCTTAATTTAGTCTGAATGCCTTCTGCCTCCCCTCACATGCGATGTATAATCCTATGGGTTTAGCGCTTCCCCGTGATTATAATAATATATATGAATTAAGGAAAGGTCCTGGACTTCACCTTACGAAAGCAGACAAAGCAAATGCGATAATAATTATGGACAAGGTAGATTATAATGGGAAAAAGATGATAATAGGAGACAGGGAAAGGTTTTGGTTATTAATGGAGGTGGGTGAGATATTTTTGAAAATTGTAAGGTGGTTCATAAAGAATTTTTGGTGGTAACGCTTTCGAGCGTATTGATGTGGTGGAGCGGTAGGTCTTAGTCATGTGATGACCCGCCGCTGGAGCTTTTGGTCATCTGACCGAAGCCTTCCGCTGGCTCACCCCTCCAATCCATCATAAGAGTCTATCACAACACGACGTGTTATGATTGACTGAAATTTATTGAGAAGTGAAGAGCAATAATTACATTTGTTATGGAATATGGAGAAAAATTATCGGGAGTAAACTTAATTAAAAACTTTAATGGACGTAAAACAAAGTAATTTGCTTTAAAGTGAGGCATTAAGTTGTAAATATAGATATAAACCTATGAGTAGTTATAGGGAAGAGTTAAACCCGTAGGATTATACAGCGCCTGTGGGGGAGGGGAGGGATGGAAGGTATTTAGGCTTAATTCAGGTAACTGGACCCCTCAAGGAAGGTTCCTTGATGCTGGTGAGGGGCTCTTGATCTAGGGAACTGGATCTGTGCTCCAGTTCCCCGAGTTAAACCTGAATACCTTCCATCCCTCCCCCAAGCCCTGTATAATCCTATGGGTTTAGTGCTTCCCCCTTGATTATAATAACCAGGTAACTGGAGCACAGATCAGTATTTTTTATAGTGATGTTTATATACTAAGAGACGCACTGGGTTTGTATGCATATTTTGGCCAAAAAATTTGAAAAGTGTTTCAGACCGCACTGAATCGTCGAAATATTCAATACAATAGTTTTAGCACATTATTATAAGAGAAACGCTAAACCTACAAGGGTAATTTTAGCACATTTTTCTATTTTTTTTAATACACATTTTTTTAAAAACAGGAAAAGTCTATAAAAGACAATTTTTGAGAAGTAAATTATAATTTCACTATTCGTGTATACAAAAATATAATGTTGCAGGAGTCGGCTGTCAGCGTGTAGTGAAGACTGGACGGTGAGGTCAAGTGGGTGTCAGCGTGTAGTGAAGACTGGACGGTGAGGTCAAGTGGGTGTCAGCGTGTAGTGAAGACTGGACGGTGAGGTCAAGTGGGTGTCAGCGTGTAGTGAAGACTGGACGGTGAGGTCAGGTGGCTGTCAGCGTGTAGTGAAGACTGGACGGTGAGGTCAGGTGGCTGTCAGCGTGTAGTGAAGACTGGACGGTGAGGTCAGGTGGCTGTCAGCGTGTAGTGAAGACTGGACGGTGAGGTCAAGTCCACGGTTGTGTGTGGCTGCTGCTGTGGTTTGTAAGACCAGGAAAATGTCGTCAATCTGAAGACACCGCTGGAAACAATGTTGATTTATTGAGACGAGATAATGAGTTAGTCACACACTCAGATGGTATATATAATGTGTGTGAGTACCGAATGAGACGCTTGTACATCACTTGGGTATCTTGAGGGAACGTTTCGCCAGCCAGTGGCTTCCTCAGTCCAGTACAAAGAAGAATGGTGGAAGATGACAGGTAGGGGGGGGGGTTAACTAATCAATCCTTCAGCCTAGTGTGTGTTCAGTCCATATATCTTGACAAGAGTATTAAAGCATATGCGCGGAGAAGGATTACTGTAGAGTGTAGACAGGTTATTATTCTATGCGCTAAACCCATAAGGGTCATACAGCGCTGATAAGTAGGTCATGCCTATAGGTTAGACAAGCTATGAAAAAATCCCTATCAAGATCCCAATATATTGCTAGCTTAGAAAACCGACAAGTTGATAAATGAGAAACGTGTGTACCATTTGGGTATCTTTATTCTGGAAATGTTTCGCCAACCAGTAGCTTCCTCAGTCCAATACCGAGAAGAATGATGTGATAGTAGTAGTAGTTTGAGGTAATCAGTCCCTCGGACTTTTTTAAACCCTCTGTATAATCTGTCAGACACAGCAACACCTTGGGATCTTGGTATAGGGAATTCCTTAAGGGGCACGTAAGTTCTCCTGTCTTTTAATATGTTCATTTTTCCACTATAATCTACCTTGTCCATAATTACTATCGCATTTCCCCTCAAGGAAGGTTCCTTGATGTTGGTGAGGGGCTCTTGATTTAGGGAATTGGATCTATGCTCCAGTTCCCCGAATTAAGCCTGAATGCCTTCCACATCCCCCCCAGGCGCTGTATAATCCTCCGGGTTTAGCGCTTCCCCCTTGATTGTAATAATAATAATACTATCGCATTTCCTTTGTCTGTTTCGTAAGGTGAAGTCCAGGATCTTTCCTTAATTCATGGTATAACTTAACAAATCTTTGAGGACAATTATCGTTGCAGAGGTCTGAGCAAAGTTCAGACCTCTGCACCTCAATTGTCCTCAGAGTTATTCTATGAATTAAGGAAAGATCCTGGACTTCACCTTACGAAACAAAGGAAATGCGATAGTAATTATGGACAAGGTAGATTATAGTGGAAAAATGAACATGTTATTAGAAGACAGAGGATCTTAAGTGCCTCTTAATGCTTGTCTAACCTTTAGACACGACATACTTCTGCTGGTTAAGATTGATTGATAGAACATATCGACTCCAGGCTGAGATACTGATTAACTCAAATTCATCTTCCACCTTTTTCTGCACTGAACTAAAAAAAAGCCACTGTGTGGCCAAATGCTGCACAAGTGTCTCATTTATCAACTTGTCGGTTTTCTAAACCATATAGTTACACAATGTTTTTAACAGAGGAGGAACCTTGACGGAACCCACATCCTACGTCCTGTGTAGGATGTGGGTGAGAGTTCTGTGCTGAAGGAAATGTTTGGGTAATTAATACAACTTATGAAAGTTAAGACACATGTGCAACATCTGGATATCTTTATTGTAGACGTTTCGCCATCCAGTGGCTTTATCAATACAGATTTTATGACATAATTAGAAGACAGTAGAACTATATACAAAAGATGAGGTAATCAGTCCCTCAGCCTTGGAGTTAGTGTTCACAGCATCGTGGTGGAGGAGAATCTGGAGCAAAGGCAAGAAGACTGGCGGTTATATAGGCGTCAGTGGATAAGGACGTGTAGCAGACGAGGGCATAGTCACTGGTAGGCGGGATTCCCCAGTGGAAGTAGGTCCTATACAAAAGGATGGGTAAGTTGTTGTAGACGTGAAGAAAGTCTTGTAGATGTCCTCTGAACCAAGATTCCATGATGTTGCTGTGTCTGACAAGTTGTGCAAGAAACATCGTGGAATCTTGGTTCAGAGGACATCTACAAGACCTTCACGTCTACTTCAGCTAACCCATCCTTTTGTGTAGGACCTACTTCCACTGGGGAATCCCGCCTACCAGTGACTATGCCCTCGTCTGCTGCCCGTCCTTATCCACTGACGCCTATATAACCGCCAGTCTTCTTGCCTTTGCTCCAGATTCTCCTCCACGATGCTGTGAACACTAACTCCAAGGCTGAGGGACTGATTACCTCATCTTTTGTATATAGTTCTACTGTCTGCTAATTATGTCCTAGAATCTTTACTGATAAAGCCACTGGATGGCGAAACGTCTACAATAAAGATATCCAGATGTTGCACATATGTCTTAACATTCACATTGTCGGTATTTTATACCTTTCTTACACAACTTACTATGTTGTGCTAATGTGAGCTAAAGTTTTATTTTTATGGGGCTTTGATGTGGTAAAAATAATCAGACGAGTACGAAACACTTTGGTACCTTTATTGCTGAGACGATCGTCTTTTGCAGTAGAAATACAGAGAGAACATTGTAGATGAATGGTTCAGAGAACCGACATGTTGATAAATTAGACATGTGCAACTCTTGGGTATTTTTGAGGAAACGTTTCGCCATACGGTGGTTTCATCAGTCCATACAAAGGAGAATCGTGAAGACCAGGAGGAGAATGAGGTAATCAGTCCCTCAACCTTGAGTCGATGTGTTCAGTCCATCAATCTTGAATTCTATTCAAGATTGATGGACTGAACACATCGACTCAAGGTTGAGGGACTGATTACCTCATTCTCCTCCTGGTCTTCAAGTTTCTCCTTTGTGTGGACTGATGAAGCCACTGTGTAGCGAAACGTTTCCTCAGTAAAGTTACGTAAGAGTTGCACATGTGTCTAATTTATGCACAGAGACAACGGTTGTAGTAGATATGGTAGTATTGGTAACTGTTCAGCTCCACAGCTTGGATCAACTGAACGATGTTATGGAGCTGGACACTTGCCAAGGCTGAGGGACTGACCACTTCATGTCTACCTCTCTCCTCTATTTGTCATCTCAGTATTTCGACAAGTCTAAACAGGCAAAAATCTATGACAAAGATACCAAACTACTGTACTTTGTGTTTCTCATTTCCCTGTCAAATTGAATAAAGATACTGGTCAATTATGTGAAAGGATATATGGGTGTTTATAAGATTTAACTAAAGAGTATAACTAAAATCTCTGGTGGACGAAACGTCTTCACGATAAAATGCCATTACCTGCATTGTGTCAATATTATAATGGTAATGCCAACAAGTAGATAAGACATGTGCAACACTGGTATATTTAGTCCTAAACGTTTCGCCTACACAGTAGGCTTCATCAGTCGAGTGGAGAAGTGATGTAGCCAGTCTTCAAGGTTGATGGATTTACATCAACACGTTTGTGCTCTGAAAACAGACATGTGCAACATCTGGATATCTTTATTGTAGACGTATCGCCATCCAGTGGCTTTATCAATACAGATTCTAGGACATAGTAGGAAGACAGTAGAACTATATACAAAAGATGAGATAATCAGTCCCTCAACCTTGGAGTTGGTAAGTAGAGCACTGTAGCGGTGCTCTACTTACCAACTCTAAGGCTGAGGGACTGATTACCTCATCTTTTGTATATAGTTCTACCGTCTTCAAATTATGTCCTAGATAAAGCCACTGGATGGCGAAACGTCTGCAATAAAGATACCCAGATGTTGCACACGTTTGCTTTCATATTGTCGGTATTGTATACCATTCTTGTACACCTTCGTACTGTTGCTGAAGCAGCCTACTGTGGAGCGAAAAAGTTTGACAAAACTAGCTATTGCACATTTCTCTTGCTGGTGAGGGGCTCTTGATCTAGGGAATTGGATCTGTGCTCCAGTTGCCTGAATACCTTCCACATCCCCCCCCCCACAGGCGCTACATAATCCTACGGGTTTAGTGCTCCCCCTTGATTATAATAATGCACATTTCTCTAATTACAAAAGGTATGCTTGTTACCAAGTTGTTTGTACAAGACTCCTTGAATAAATAACGTGAACATTGCGTGTTTTTATCCATATCCTCGATATACATGTGCAACATTATTGTCGAAATTTGCCTGAACAGCAGGTTTCTTTAGGCAATAAGTGAAGAGGTAATTTTTAGATGCTCAGTCCCTCGGTCTTGATAAACCTGTCCCTTAAAGCAGAAGCTAGAGACCGTGGAGCTAGGTGCGAGGTATAGCAACTGAAGATACCACAGATGAGTGGGGATCACTAATGGATGCAAGTCTTGCTTAATAGTAGTTAACAGCTGAGCTTCAGGAAATCACCGTACCAAAAATTCCATGGTCTTGCTGTGTCAGTCATAAATAATAAGAGTACACCTCAGTATCTTTGCTGGGGAGTCTCGCCAGTCAATGGCTATTGTCGATCCGAAATAGAAAATAAAAACTGAAGACTGGAAAGGGTAATTCGAGGTGATCAGTCCCTCAGCCTTGATAAATCTTCAGCAGAAACAAGGTGAAGACTTGTATACTCAGATGAGAGAAGAGCTGCGGTAAATATAAGACATTACACATGGGTGGGACTCTGTAGTGGAGGTCATGGCCAAGAGGCAGGCAATATTGTTGAAGATATACAGTACCAAGACTCCATGGTGTTACTGTCAGACAAGTAACTTGACAATAATGGTGTAATACAAAGTCTCAATCAAGATGCAAGTCTTACGAGAGACTTGACAGTTTAAAGTTACTCGTCTGAGACGACAATATCAAAGACTCTCAGTACAGTACATCTTCAACAATACTGCAACTCTCCTCTAACCTGAGTATATAAGCCTTCTTGTTTCTGTTTCAGATTTATAAAGAGTGAGCTACTGTTCACCTAGAATTACCCTTCCAGTACTTATTTTCTATACTGGATTGAAAAAGTCACCGACTGGTGAAACTTAAGAAAAATACTCATTTGTAACACTACTGACAGCAACACAATGAAATTTTGGCACAGGGGATGTCTCCAACAATACTGCTAATCACTGTTAAGCAGGACCGCCTTCCACTAGAGCCCTCCACTCATGTGACGTTATCTCTACCTGCTACACCTCACGTCTATCTCCTATGCTTTAGGTTAAGGAACTATCCACCTATCAAAACTAAGGGACTATCACCTAAAAATTACCTCTCCAGTTCTGTCGCCTGACTGAAGAAGCCTGCTGCGCAGTCGATACTTTAACAATAGATGCCTAAATGTTGCACACGTTTCACTCAAATTCTCTATTTGTTTTATCATTTATGATGTAGCTAATTTCCTCAAGCATAGATCAAAGGAAATGGACTCCCCATCCTTTTCCTTAGATCGAAACTGATTGCCTCCCATTTTGCACACGCTATACGACCCTTCAGGGTTTAGAGGTGTCCCCTGATTACAAAAAGGCATACAGTGCAACAAGTTTATAAATGAGACTTTTGCAACACTGACATTATTTCCGAAACCTTTCGCCTACACAGAAGGCTTCTTTACTGGAATATAGAATTGACAAACTGGAGATAAAAGTAGCAGCTGAGAGGCTGCTGCTGCTGTCAATTGAAGCCTACTACTTGGGCGAAACGTTCAGGAAGAGTAGGTATATATCATCCAGTTAGAGATATATACCTACTCTTAGCTATCTTGGGTGACTACCTACAGTCATCCAAACCATGGAACAGGTGGGGGTTTGAATCCGTGGAGATTCACGGAACCGTAATAATTCAAATGCAAACCACGGAACATGTTTGTTTATAGCAGTGTTATGATTTCGTGAGAACCCCACCCGTTCCTTGGTTTACGATGAATAAATAAGGCACAATACCGTGACTGGAACAATACACAATATAACCCGGACATGGCAGAGAGGAGCTTACGACGACCTTTCGGTCCGACTTGGACCATTTACAAAGTCACAGCATGACTGTAAATGGTCAAAGCTGAACCGAAACGTCATCGTAAGCTTCTCTATGTACTAGTTATTCGTGTAATGTTATTACACAGAACTCAACACGTGGAGATGGCTATTCGTAGTTCCAAAAATTTGAGAAATACTTTTTGGTACTAAATTATGGGTAATGTAGCCAACATTGTTAATTATGAGTATGGTATTAGCGCAGCTAAAAAAAAAATATGATGGGTAGCTAAAAACATGAAAAATATATACAGTTTTATTGATAAAAGGGAAAAAAAAAGATGAAATTGTTACCCTGTGGAGGAAAATGGAGATAATATACAAGAAGCAGCACAATAACCCGGATGGTGAGGATACACAATACACAAACAATTCGTACATAGGAGAAAAGCTTATGACGACGTTTCGGTCAGATTTGGACCATTGACTAGTAGGACCTGTTATTTCTGCACTGTTCCATTCACAGTATTGTAACTCTTTGTTCTTTATGATGAGGATGTCAGCCAGCTGGCTGAAGTGTCTGGCCTAACTAGATGTATAGTGCATGTCTTGACAGCGCACATCAACTTGAAGGTCACGCCACACACCTGACGTGGAAGCACAATATGGTGCGCGAGTAGAACCAAGGACCTCGCCGAAAGTCGTGGCTGCGACCTCGAAGACCAGCGGTGAAATTGTCAGCAGTCTTCAGCGTACGTAAAAAAAAAATCAGTCAGACTTCCACCATTTGCTGTCGCGTTGAAATATGCTGCATCCTCACACCCTCAAGGACTGGTTGGCTCAAGCTCCTGGGCTGGGTGAAGAA